GAAGGAAAATGCAAGGACACTTGCTTTTCACATCAGATAACTAAACCAGAGTTGTTAACCCACTGAAATGAAAAAGCTATACATTGTGGATACCTTTCCGCTTTTCGTAATACAATCACAATGCACTTTGTGGGCTGTTTTAAAACTACAGATACCTTTACTGAGTTTTACACTATGGGAAAATACCTGAATAAGCACCAAAATTTGAACTTACACAATTTGTCTGTCCCATCTTAAAAATCAACTTTACAAACATCTAAATAGATACAAAAACATAGGCCACATCCCCTCTTTTCCTAACCCTTATTTAAGGCATCTAAGTAGCATTTCAGGTACATAGCCATTATTCTCCAACAGTGAATTTATTGTGGAGGACACATAATATTCTCATTTGAAATACTAAGAAAATACTTACAGGCTCACCTAATCTACAAAACCTGCTATGGAAAAATTACTCCTACCACACAGACAGACTGATCTACCAATTGGGGAAGGGGAAAAGTGCCTGCCACAGAGATAGGATTGAAGGACTGGAGGGAAACTGAGGACATTGGTGCAAGGTAGTGGGAATTAGTGAAGGGACTGGTGTTAGACCAATATATGTTTGAAACTCACAAAAATATCCTTATAACTTTATAATTTATGATTCAATAAAAAATAAATAATTTTAATTTTATAAAAGAATTTCTTTACATATTTGGTACAGGTAAGAAATTATTCTAAAATTTGCCTTTGACATTTCCTTGATAATGAAGTGGAAAAAATTTGTCCAAACACACAATAAGTCAGTACATGGTCCACCAAATGCCAAGAATCAGCTTGACAGATACTGAAACCAAGTTAACAGGCAGATATGAATCCTACACAAAGTTCACTGCAATAGTGAATTAGAAAAAGCACTGGATAGGCCAAGAGATGTTTCCAGCTCTTCCACCAAGATACTATACAGTCTATTAATTCTCTACGCCACCAATTCCTCAACCATAAAAATAAAATTGTAGCTCTAACACACTTCCAGAACTAATACTGATGATTCTTCAACTTCAAATCTGTTGAGTATATACTTATTATAGATGATATCCCTATATAGAAATAGCATCCTAATTATACAAAGACCCTATGCACACAAGTTGATAGCAGGATAAAATATTCAAGCATTATTCCACTCTAAACCCCTCCATTCTCCCCCTGCAATCCACAATCTCATAAAGACAGGGGCTTTTAATATAGCAGAGAAAAATTCTCAAGTTAAAAGGCATCTAGAGATTTCTTCTATTAATGTTTTTACTTCTTTTTTATGTTTTTACTTTTCCCTTGAATATTGTAAATAAACACCCATTCAGAAAACAAATTATGCTAATTGGTTATAAACCTAACTAAAATCTAAAAAGCAAATGTATAGGCCAAGAATTTATTTTATAGACTACAGAAGACAACCTGGCAAGACTCTTGTTTACGTAAAATTTGCTATAAGTGGGCCCTGAGTGATAGTGCAGCAGGTAGAGTGCTCGACTTGCTTTAGGCGACCCAAGTTGAATCCAGGACACCATATATGGTCCCCCAAGCCCATTAGAAGTGATCCCCTCAATATAGAGCCAGCAGTAGGTCATGAGCAACTGGATATAGCCCAAAAACAAAACAAAAAAGTTTGCTAAAAGTTTCTAGTGCTACAATAAAATTACTACCTGAGGCTTATTAAGCAACAAATTTGAACATTATTAATGTTAATTTAATTTCTGTGAGGAGCATTGTACTACAGTCTAAAGATTTCAGCACTGCTTAATTGAAACCTAATAATAAAACATGTTAAAAAAAAACACTAAAAGAAAATATCAAAATTAAGAACATCAAAATGAAATGGATTTTTATAGTGTCAAAGTAATTTCTCATGTGAAAATCACTTTCAAAACTGGAGCTGGAATTGTTATGAAAACTAAATGAATTTGTATGAGTAAAGGGCAAACATAACACAAGCACATGACATTAACTCTAAATTGAATCTAGTTCTATCACATGTTAAAGATTTTGATAATAATGTATCTAAGGTAATATCACGTAATTCAGGACTATTATTACAACACATGCTGAACCCAATTAGAATACTGATAAACTCTGAAACCTGGGGTCAAGAACAATACTTCAAATGATTTCACTATTTTACTATAAATGTAAAAAAATGATCTGCATATGTCAGCTAAAAAATTTTAATATTATAAAACTGACTTGGTCAAAACAATATAAAAATTGTTTCTCTGTATTGCATCTTATGTAATTCAAATCTAAATAGCTTAAGATTAAATTTTTAATGCTTGAATCTTAATCACACTATAAAAATAAGATCCTATCAAATCAAGGTAAAAATCCAATTATCAAGTCATTAACAATAATTGCCTTATCTTCCCAAGGGTGAATTCTTTAACTAAAAGGTAAAACAACTAAGAGAGTATAGCTATATTTCTCAAAAATAAGCAGTTTAAGTAAATTTTAACCTTCCATAAAATGAATTTGTGAAAGTTATTTTGAAAAAAACAAAATCGCTGGAATTTTCCATCATTCTGTATGACATCCCTCAAATATTTCAATCAACAACTAGATTCTTGTTTGGGGGCTACACTCAGCTGTGCTCAATCACTTCTGGTGGTGCTCTGGGGACCATATGGCATGACAGGAATCGAACAGGGTCAGTCTCTGTGCAAGGCAAACAGCAGCCCCAAATGCTAGGGTTTTTTTTTAATTCCTTAAATACACAAGGATTCAATGCTCAGTTCATTTGTCCCATATTGTTTAACCAATGCACCTTTATTGTCAATGATTCTGAAAACAATCTTCCTAAAAAGAATGGTCTCCTGGATGAAATGTATATACTGAAATAGTTTAATCAGTCTAGTCCTTAGCACCCAGTTCACACACTAACATCCGCTGAAATTAGTGAAATCTTAAATAGAATGTACAGCTATAAAATTACACAAAGTTCAAAGAAGAGTTTTGGAACTCAACATACAATTTACTCAAAGTCAAACTGAAAATTTATTTTAAATTAGAAAGCAATTCATTAAAATAATCATTACCCAGAGATAAGAGACAAAATCAAGTTTTATAAATTTTGCAAAAACTACTTTAGACTACACATTACATTTGAAATATTGTTTAAGTTTTTTTTTAAACGTAAATTTCCCAAACATAAAACTAAATATCTACATTCATCTAAATTTCAATGCTGATTCATGTGTTCTATATGCTCCCGTCACTTTAAAATTATATTAAAGACTAAGGTGTTGGGATTAACCCTAGTAAGAAAAACAAAAAAGCAGACCTTCAAATTTAATTCCCTTGGTAAAGTTTCAAAGCTAAGACTATGTATTGGCAAAAAAAGAGAAATCACAGTCCTATCTTACATATAATTGTGCATTCATTCATTCATGTTTTAGTCCACCAACTCCTGGAATCTTTATACACACAGACACGCAATGGAACTCGAGTTCTTAGACTGATTTTCATTTTGTTTCATCTTTATTGGATTTTTCAACATTTTACTTTTCCCATTGTTTCTTAATGTAGACTCTACTAAGTTTCCCACCCGCCACCAAACACCACCGATGATTATCTAGTGATCTGGTCAATTAAAACATTTGACCAACTTTTGTTTAATATGGAGCACACATCGAAATTGATGATTTGAGACATCTGGCAATGTATTAATTGTAAATAGTCATTATTTCGCATCCTTTAACTTCATAATGAACTAAAGTGTGAACATTTTCTTAATACTAGAAATTAATCAATGGATCCGTAAGTTTCACGCTGAATTTCTATTTGGAAATGTAACCAATCACAAACTAGTTTCAACCAGTTACCACATTGGTGAATTGGAGTTGGTCTTGTTTTCTTAAGTTTAATGTGAAGGCAAAGTGGGCATCCTAGCCTGATAGATAAGCATCTCTTCTGCTTGCTTCAATGAACAGATTATTTTCGGTATTTACAATCTGGCCCCAAAGAGATTGTAGGTGCCTAGAAATCCCAAGCAGGGGTTGATCCCGCTTAGGAGTCGGGCTAGGCTTCAACTTTAGGCTCTGAAGTGCACTACCAGCATCATGGCCGATGCAGACCGCTGCGCAGGAGGAGGAGGTGGGGGAAGAGACGGTTTGTTTACTTGCAGCCAGAGCCGCCGCCGCCACCGGTGCCGCCAGCAGCGACAGCATCACTGGATCCGCCAAACGCATCATCTTCCGCACATTTCTATTCTTGGCACACAACTCCCAAGCGGATCAAAAACCCACTACTATTAAAAACACAGAAGCACGTTACCCACCTCCCCACCCCCCGCCCCCCGCTACACACACCCCGGCCCTCGGGTGCCGTCTTTTCTCGGGTGAGGGCTGCGGGATAGAGTGGAGGTGCGAAGGAGACCCCCAGGGACGCCGGTGCATCCTCGCCTTCACTGCCCCCGCCCCACCCCAAGCGCTCAGACAGCCCCAGCTCCACCGCGCGCGGCAGACAGCCCCCTTCCCCCAACCCAAACACACTGACACGGGCGCTCCACGCATTATATAACCTCGCCGCCACCCCGGGTCGAGGCGGGCGCCCCCTCCTCACGTCCCGTGGCGCGGATCGGGAGCGGTAAGAAGAGGGGAGAGAGTTGCGCAGACTGGAGGCGCCAGGGCCGGGGCAGCCCCGACACGGACCGTACCGCTAGGCCGGGAACACCCTCCGCCGGCCCCCAGCGCACCGCCGGCCCCCAGCTTCCCCCGGAAAGTGAGGGGGTGCCGGTGTCAGCCGCGCCGGGCATCCCACTTCCTCCACACCTACACCCGAAGCCTCCATTGACCCGGCCCCCGCCCACGTCCCCGGCACGGTGACAACCCCGACGCCCCCAACTCACCCCACCCCACCCCGCCCTGCCCTGCCCGAGAGGGGCCGGGAGGCAGGGTCGGGGCCCAGGGCCGGAGGGAGCGCGGGCGAGACGGGGAGGGTGGCGAGAGGAGGGGGCGGCGGCTTGTTACCTGCAAAGGCGGCGGCGGCGGCCCCGCAGCTGCTCGGGCGGCGGCGGAGGATGGAGCTGGGGGGGGGCGGGGGGAGGAGAGGGGGCGACTCGGGGGTCCCCCTCCCTCCTCCTCCCCTCCTGTCCTCCCCCCACCCCGCAGAGCCTCTGGCCCCCCTAGAGCCTGATGCGGCCGGCGGAAGGGCAGGCGAAGGGCTGCTGGGGAGGGTGGGGAGGGAGCCGGCCGGGCCGGGCCGCGAGCTGAAGCGGGAGGCGGCGGCGGCGGCGGCGGCGGCGGGAGGGGGGGAGCGAGCCGGGAGGGCGGCGGCGGCGGCGGCGGCGGCGGCGCGGGGGGGAGAAGGAGGCGGGGACTACATGGGAATCGGATATCGGCTACAAAGTCAATTCAGCACCAGAAAAGCCCGCGGCGCCGGGGGGAGGGGGGAGGCAGGGTGACGCCGGCGCGGCTCAGCCCGCGAGGGTCCGGGGGCTGCGGCCTCCACTCCCGAGCCGCGCCTAACCGGGAGGACCCCGCCGCCGCCGCCGCCGCCTCCCCGCCCCCTCTTTCCTCCCTCTCCCGGCCGCAGCCGCCGCCGTTCGCTCGCCGCCGCCGCCGCCGCCGCCGCCGCGGGGCTTGTTGTTGACTTTGAGGAAAACTCCTGACGTCAGGGGCTGGCTCTCGGCGACTGGCGGGAGCGGCTTCCCCGTGTCCCCGGCCCTGCCCGTCGCCTCAGCTCTCCCGCCTGCCCGGCCCTCTTCCTCACGCTTCCCCGCGCCCCCCAAACCCGCGGTGCCCTGTGCCCCCTCTCCTCTCGCGAGAACACCCCCACCCCACCCCACCCCACCCCACCCCGGTCCGCCGGAGCCGGGAACGGGGGCAGTAGTTCCTGAGGCGGGAAGTTCTGGGTTTCCCTGGCGGCCTCGTGGCCTGCGGCGGGCACCTAGGCCCGGCCGCCGAGCCTGGCTTCGCGGGAAGGAGCCTGTCGCCTTGCCTTGGCGCGCCGCCCGCTTCCTCTGCAGGCTCCTGGGGCCGCCCTCAGCACATCCCCAGCTCCCTGACCTGAGGAGGGGTGGTGGCCGCTCAGCCTCTCGTCTGGGAACACCTCCCCTCCGCAGGCAGGTAGCAGGCGCACGCACACACACGCGCGCGCAGACACACGACTCCCAGGAAGACCTTCAGGTCCAGTTCCAGAGCCTCTCCCTCCATATACGTGATAACCTTTCTACATCTGTATTGTAGCGGGCACACACACACACACACACACACACACACACACACACCGACTCCCAGGAAGACCTTCAGGTCCAGTTCCAGAGCCTCTCCCTCCATATACGTGATAACCTTTCAACATCTGTATTGCAGCGCGCGCACACATACACACACACACACACACACACACACACACCGACTCCCAGGAAGACCTTCAGGTCCAGTTCCAGAGCCTCTCCCTCCATATACGTGATAACCTTTCAACATCTGTATTGTAGCGCGCGCACACACACACGCATACACACACACACACACACACACACACACACCGACTCCCAGGAAGACCTTCAGGTCCAGTTCCAGAGCCTCTCCCTCCATATACGTGATAACCTTTCTACATCTGTATTGTAGCGCGCGCACACACACACGCATACACACACACACACACACACACACACACACACCGACTCCCAGGAAGACCTTCAGGTCCAGTTCCAGAGCCTCTCCCTCCATATACGTGATAACCTTTCAACATCTGTATTGTAGCGCGCGCACACACACACGCATACACGCACACACACACACACACACACACCCCGACTCCCAGGAAGACCTTCAGGTCCAGTTCCAGAGCCTCTCCCTCCATATACGTGATAACCTTTCAACATCTGTATTGCAGCGCGCGCACACATACACACACACACGCACCGACTCCCAGGAAGACCTTCAGGTCCAGTTACAGAACCTCTCCCTCCATATACGTGATAACCTTTCAACATCTGTATTGTAGCGCGCGCACACATACACACACACACACACACACACACACACACCGACTCCCAGGAAGACCTTCAGGTCCAGTTCCAGAACCTCTCCTTCCATATACATGATATCCTTTCAACATCTGTATTGTAGCGCACGCACACACACACACACCGACTCCCAGGAAGACCTTCAGGTCCAGTTACAGAACCTCTCCCTCCATATACGTGATAACTTTTCAGCATCTGTATTGTAGCCCGGAATGCCTGAAATGAGAGAGAGAAGAGAGGTGTCTGCCATAGACGCAGGCTGGGGTGGGGTTTGTTTGGGGGAGGGGAGGGAAACTGGGGACATGGGTGCTGGGAAATGTACTCTGGTGGAGGGATGGGTGTTGGAACATTGTATGACTGAAACCCAGTCATGAGTGTCTTTGTAATGCTCTCAAAGTGCTCAAAGTGATTCAATAAAAATACTTTAAAAAAAGAATGAAAGAAAAAAAGAACCTCTCCCTCCAAAAAGCCATCCACAGTATTTCCTGTTAGCTGGAGCGGTAGCACAGCGGTAGGGCGTTTGCTTTACAAGCGACCATCATGGCCGACCTGAGTTCGATTCCTCCGCCCCTCTCAGAGAGCCGGCAAGCTACCGAGAGTATCTCGCCTGCACGGCAGAGCCTGGCAAGCTACCCATGACGTATTTGATATGCCAAACACAGTAACAACAAGTCTCATGATGGAGACGTTACTGGGCCTGCTCGAGCTAATCAATGAACAACGGGAGGACCGTGACCGTGAACGTGACCGTCACAGTCACACTTAGGACACAAGTTGCAGAGCATTCTTAATTCACTCTTAAAATTACAACCTTTGGAAGCCAGAGAGATAGTATAGCTGGTACAGCACCTGCCTTGCATGAAGCCAGCCTGGTTTGGTCCCTGGCATGTGGAGCATGTGGAGTAAGCCCTGAGTGTAGCCAAGTGGAACCCATCAGCCCCACTCCCACCAAAAGTAATTATTCTTAGAGCCATTAGTTTCCACTGATTTCAGGGAAGCCTTGATGCTGTGTTTTCCCTACCAAGATTAGTGCAAGGCAGACATCTCAATTAGGGCTTCTCTGCAGTGGGCATTTGTAAGCTTCTTCTCTAAGCAGGTCCATGGACTTGGCGCTTTGTCGTATAAAGAATGTGGAGGAAGCAGAAACTCAGAGTTTGAAAAAATCTCTGGTAGGGGAAAAGGAGAAAAATGACGAGAGTCTGGAGAAGGCTTTTGTTTGACTTCTCTCCCCTCAGCCTCCACCTGGCTTAAGAAAAAACAGAAGTGTGGTGTCACAAATACTAACCCACACAAGGAAAGGAGTCTTATCTTGATCCTGATAAATAATAGCACTATAGCACTGTCCTCCCCTTGTTCATCGATTTGCTTGAGCTGGCACCAGTAACGTCTCCATTGTGAGACTTGTTATTGTTTTTCGAATATCGAATACATCACGAAGAGCTTGCCAGGCTCTGCCATGATAAATAATGATGGTCACTAAAATATATTAACTGTCATAAATACTAGAACTATGATAACACTTGCTAATTTCCCCCAAAATACAACTATTGCAGAATCTGTAGGAGTCCTAAGTGTCTTTTAACAGTTTCCTGCTGAGACAGGTCAATAGACATAAATCCACAATAAAAGTTGTCCTCTTTGCATAGAGGTCCATTATCAGCTCCATACTCAACTAGCAAAGTGAGGTATGTACTTGATTGTCTTGAATGACTCAAACCTGAAGCCCCAATTTCATATCTACACCACCAACAAGGCTTTGGGGAATGAGACAGAAAGGCATATATGCTTATGTAGGACTAAGAGTGGATCTCCTCCTTAAAGAACAGGACCCCTGAAAAGACAGAGGAAAGAGACAAAAAAAAAAAAAAAGCTCTTTTTAAAGGGATTCTGGCCCACATATCTAAGGCACTAGGAATGTGAACCTACATGGAAATCTCAGATCCTATTCTAGTTGTATTTGTATTCTAACTGCAGTTCTAAGATTTAGCTTATCATTGTGAATCCAGGAGGGAAGTCCTAGGACTTGATAGGAGAGCTAATGATTAGGAAGACTAAATTGTGTCTAGTCCCTTTTTCTGCTGAATACTGTTTTGTTCCCTGTCTCCAAGTTTTTATAAGAACCTGATCCTTCACGCTGAAATGTAAATTTTCAAGGAGCTCAACCTACAAAAAAACAAGTACAAATTAGGGTTGGAGCAGTAGTACAGTGTTGTAGGGTGTTTGCCTTGCATTTAGCTGACTGGGGTTCAATCCCAACATCCCATGTGGTCCCCTGAGCACTGCCAGGAGTAATTCCTGATTGCAGAGCCATGAGTAACCCCTCAGCATTGCAGGGTGTAACCCCCCCCTCCAAAAAAAATCCCTCGAGTTCTATCCAAATGTAATTGGTATCATTTTGTTCTGATTTTTCTTTCTGCAGTCTATATTCTACTTTATTATTTTGGGCAGGGTCTACATCCACCTGTGCTTAGGACTTACTCCTGTCTTTGTGTTCAGGGATCACTCCTGATGGACCTCAGGGGATATGTGTGTGTGGTGCCAGTGATTGAACCCAGGTCCACTACATGCAAAACAAATTCTTTAAATACTGTTTTGTTTCTCCAGTCCTACATCTTAGTCTCTTGAACTGTGGGTTAACAAGAGTAAAAGTTTTCTGCATATGACATAACCAAAAATTTCAAATAAGACATAATGAATCCAAGGTGTTTCTGATAGTGTTGCATTTTTTGGGTAAAATGAGATCAGGAGTAGAAAAAGTTTAAGAAGAAGACTGCATGTATCAATCTCTTTATCTCCAGATTACATCGCCTTTAAAAAGAAGTAACCTCAATTCTTTGTCAGTGTAAGCCAACTAGAAAAACTGAAAACATAAGCTCAGAAATCCTTAGCCAAATATGGGATCTTCACAAAGGTATGTTTTGGAAACATTTTTCTCTTCACCCTCACTGCTATTTTACCAAAAAAACTACAATGCAGGTTAAGTTTACTTTTAATGGATTAGATCAATTATTTTTCATTAGCATAGTAAAAATATATAGATTCTTCTAACTTGTTTTGCTGGTTCAGATTGAGCTACTAATGGTCTTTCCTTTTCTGCAGTCAGTCTGTGATAGTCAGAACTGTTCAGACAAGAGATTGTGGGCCTTATCATATAATAACTGTTACCCTTATATATTGTTATAATTTTAATTAAGTGGTTTATATAGGAAAAGTAATCTCACTTTCAAATCAATCTGTATTCACCTTCTTAGCCCCAGAGAGTACTTAAAATTTGGAGAAAGAAATAAAGG